TCTGTCACAATGTAATCATTTTCCAGCACATTCCTTTTCTCACCCACACACCCTCTTAGTATTTAATAATGTATTATTTACCAAAGTACAATTTTTACAAATTCAATTGTTCATATTTCTTTAAAATGCTTTTCTCTGACCAACTTTCCATTACAAACATAAAACAATGACAGGTTGACCACTGCTAAATTTTAAGAGTAAATTATATAAAAAACTAGATTCATACTGAGAAAATTAATTTCACATGTGAGCACTTTACCTTGATAACACAATCACGGTCTTCCTTATCTGATGTAGGCTGTAAATCATCGGTCACCTGTTTGCCGGAAAGCCTTTAGAGCAAATATATACAACAAAAATGAGGATGTTCATTTCTTTAAAAAAGTAATTTACAGGTCCATACCTGCATGTGACCTCCAAAAAAACAGAAAGGGAAACAAATCTGGTGAGAGGCCAGCTATCTCTATATTAATATTGCTTAAGAACATTAAAATTTGGCCTCTGTTGTAGATTTTAGTTACTTATTTCTAGCTCCACAATTCCCAATCTATGAAATAGTCAATAAAGACCCACACGTAGTTGCATAACAAATCATGGCAGCCAATACACTGGCATAGTCGGAGAATAATTTGTCTTCACAAATTGTATGTCCTAAAGCCTGAGCTGAAAATCCAATTAATTGCTGACGTAATTTTTAATACCTAAACTGGAACAAACCTGATAACTTAAAACAAGGTAGAAAAATAGTGTCTCCTCTCCTTCATTTACCCCTGGTTCAAAGACTAATCTGCATCACTCAAAAATGGCAGCCTGGGTTCTTCAGCATGGAAATCACTTAAGAAGGCCTTAGTGCAGGCTGGGTGTGGTGGCTCATGCCTGTAATCCCAGCACTTTAGGAGGCCGAGACGGGTGGATCACGAGGTCAGGGGATCTAAAAACACACACACACACACAAATAGCCGGGCATGGTGGCCGGGGACTGTAGTCCCAACTACTCCAGAGGCTGAGGCAGGAGAATGGCGTGAACCCGGGAGGCGGAGCTTGCAGTGAGCCGAGATCACGCCACAGCACTCCAGCCTGGGCGACAGAGCGAGACTCCATCTCAAAAAGAAAAAAAAAAAAAAAGACCTCAGTGCTTACCTTTACCCTAAAACACTACAAGGATTCCTTTGAAACATTTGAAATACTTGAAAGCTAAATATATGAAAGTCAGAGGACAAATGTCTATGTTGTTATTAAAAATATTCTTCCCAGAAATATTGAAACACTAAAAATTATAAAATCCTAGTATAGGTCCTGTCCCTGAATAGGTCCGTCCTATTCAGGTTCACATAAACTAGCAAGCCCTTAACAACCTTTATAGGCACCCAGATACCTAAGGAGAGAGACTGCTGAAAAAATACAGTCCTGGTAGTTGTACAGCTCTGTGTCCCCAAATATTATTAAGTGCTATCTAAATATCTTCCTTCCTTTTAGATTCCTCTTAGGCAAGGTTCTATGGCAGTCTCCAACCTGTAAATCTTCAGCCAATGGAAATACAAATTCCTAAAATGATAGGGTCGAATAACCAAGAGTAGGAGCTATTTCCTTGCTTCTGGAAAACAAGCTAAATGGAGTCTGTCATGTGTCCCCAGCAGATGACAGATTCAGTTACTCAGCTGAAGCTCCATGACTGATTTGACAGCCAATCCTACCTCTACCCTAGTCTGCATGGACATGGGAAAAAGTCAGTAGATTGGAAAAAGAAATAGAGGTGATGGGACACCTTGCCCTGGGCCATAGATCTGTCAAGTTCAGCAAACTCTAGTCCCCTAGTACTTGAGGGGCTCTGAGCCACTCCTCTGTAAGTTGCAATGAAGGTAGATGATACCACAAGCCTATCTGCTGTACAGACTCCTCCCAGTGACTCAAATTCTCTTACCATCATTCAATAGAAACTCTGAAGTTTGTCAGCTGCTCCAATTAAACAACCAAAAAAGCACCCACTCGTTTGCGATTCCCTTGAACCTCTTATTTTAATACGCCTTTCTAGATAACTCCCAACATCCTGTGCCTTTTCTTTCTAAAATCTATCAAACTTGTCATAAACCCCAATATTCTGACCTCTTTTCTAAAATCCTCATTCCTACCTAACTCAGGGTTCTCCTCAAACTAGGCCTTCCCCTACTCCTTTCATTCCTATCCTCTTCCACTGGCTCATCAGTTGATTCCATTCTTTTCCTCTTCCACTGTGTTCACTACTCCCACCTTCCCGTTCTATTATTAAAATGCACACTGACAGGATGATGGAGAAGGGAGAGGACTGGGCTTTCAAAGGAGTTCAAATCTCATTTCTGCCACTTCCTATATCCAAATGAGTCACTTTAACCTCCTTAAGTTTCAGGTTCTCCATCTGAATAACCACTTGACTAGAATGTTAAATATAGTTTTAAGTACTAGAGGGTATTTTGATTAGCCACTAAGATTCCTTAAAATTCTGAAATTCTATGTGCTTTTGATTCTGTCTGCAGAAAAAAAAAGGAACAGTTAGCTGGCAGAAATGGGAAAAATAATAGAACGAAAGACACCCCAAGAAAAGTGAAGAAGTTAAAAACTCAAGAGAAGGCCGGGCGCGGTGGCTCACGCCTGTAATCCCAGCACTTTGGGAGGCCGAGGCGGGCGGATCACAAGGTCAGGAGATCGAGACCATCCTGGATAACACGGTGAAACCCCGTCTCTACTAAAAATACAAAAAATTAGCCGGGCGCGGTGGCGGGCGCCTGTAGTCCCAGCTACCTCAGGAGGCTGAGGCAGGAGAATGGCGTGAACCTGGGAGGCGGAGTTTGCAGTGAGCCAAGATCACGCCACTGCACTCCAGCCTGAGGGACAGAGAGAGACTCCGTCTCAAAAATAAAAAAAAAAACCTCAAGAGAAGATTATAGAAACTAGTGGAAGAAGAAAAAAGTCTCCAGGGAAAAAAGCTTCATGGAACTAGGCAGAGTAAACTAATGGGAAAACTCAACTTGGAAGTCTAAGTAGAGAAATCACCTAGACATAGATTCTAAATAAACGATAAATATAATTAACATGACACAGATATGTAAATATGGATATGTAACATAACATGGATATGTACATATCTTTCACTTAAAATAAAATAATTCTTACAGTAAGTTTCTAAAACTTGCCTGGTCTTGCTTATGTAAAACTTATGGTTCTGTGGCCTAGCTAAATGAGATCTGCCCTAAAATCTTTGATGGTAAAAACAAGTTGCTGGTTAGCACTGAAACTACCAAAAATATATAGGACAAATTACTGGACTAATCTGACTTCTAAGGAAAAGTATAAATCAGAGTTAATATATAACTAAATGTGACTTTTTGAATTAATCTGATTTGGACCTGTACCTTGATCCCAGTGCTGCACAGGTCTCTATCAGGTCTCTACTCTTGTTCTATGAGTCAGCTAATTGTTAATTATAGGATCGGAGCCAATGAATCAACCTCTCTAAACCACAGTTGCCTGATTAGTAAAAAGTAGGTTGTAATTGCACAGACACTTTGCAAAGCTGTTGTGATGACTATATGGGATGAGTTAGGCACATAATATGATGTGCTATTTTGAGTGCACAGCAGGGTGCAACAATCAGCAGATATTCGTTTCTTTTCCCTGTATTCCCTTGGTTAACAGATAAATATTTAAAATCTGTAAATCCTACCTGATTACAGAGTCTTCAGAACTCCCATCCACTGTCAAAGAAAAAAGTAAAATACCTTTTAAATCAACAATAGAAACACATAGAATACTGAAAGCATAAAAGGGCCTGGTAGGCTAAGGCTGAAGGATCGCTTGAGGAGCCCTGAAGTTCAAGAACAGGCTGGGCAACAGAGCAAAACTCTACCTTTATTTTTAAAAACCATGCACGCTTTTCTGCATGCTTTAGACTTTGTGTTTTAAAAAGGCATAAGACTGATGCTTTATTACAAAGTATTCCCTTGGGGCCATACCTAGATATTATCCTAGAATGCTAATTATACTATTGGTAGGAAATCAATGCATTAAGAACTCTTACTGCCCCTCCTTTGCATCTATAAAATGCAAGGAAGAATGGGAATTATCAAAATGTGGTCCTTAAAAGGAACTGCTGTGTACAATTATAATCCTAAATGAACCCTATCAGTCTCACTGGTATCATTAACAAAATTTGTATCATAAGCTAACAGTGTCAAACATAGCATGATTTCTGGACTAATGGACTAAGAGCAGTTAGAACAACATGCACTGTAACCCCCTTACCCATCTTATGTGTGAAAAAAAAAATGACCACAATGTATTTTTCTCTGCTCTCAAAGTACAACAACAATAATAAACACAGAAGACTTCTGTGACCAAATGAGGGGAAGACTTTTCTGCACCAACAAGCAATCAATCAATCCTGCAGCAGACACCAGCTGGGGGTCCTCTAAATCAATTCCTCACAAGTTGAGGGTGCAGTCCCCAAGGCTGCCCCTCCCCTCACCAGTCACAATTCTGGGCCTCCAGAATGCCTAACTTCAAGTTATGGTTCCCATGACTCCTCCTTGGGTTTCATTAATTTGCTTGAGCAGCTCACAGAGCTTAGGGAAGCAAAAAAAAAAAACAAAAAAAACAAAAACAAAAAAACAAAAAAACAAACCCAAACCTTGTGTTTCCTGGCTATTACAAAGAACATTACCAAAAATACAGATAAAGAGTTGCACAGGGCTGGGTTTTGGGAAGGGGTGGAGAGTTTCATACCCTCCAAGGGAGCACCACCCTCCAGAAGCCTCCATGTATTCAGGTATCTGGAAGCTCCCTGAACCCTATCCTCTTGGGTTTTTATGGACGCTTCATTACACAGGAATGGCTGACTAAATCACTGGTCATTGGTGAAGAGCTTAATCTTCAGCTCCTCTCGCCTCCTAGGAGGCTAGAAGTTCCAATCCTCTAATTATGCCTTCATCTTTCTGGTGACCAGACTTCCGTCCAGACCGAAACCCAAGATGGCTGCACTCTTGCTGAGACATGTTGGTCGTCATTGCCTCCGAGCCCACTTTAGCCCTCAGCTCTGTATCAGAAATGCTATTCCTTTGGGAACCACGGCCAAAGAAGGGATGGAGTGGTTCTGGAATAAGAACATTATGGTTTCAAACCGTCCTGTATCTCCCCACATCACTATCTACAGTTGGTCTCTTCCCATGGCGATGTCCATCTGCCACAGCGGCACTGGTATTGCTTTGAGTGCAGGGTTCTTTTTGGCATGTCAGCCCTGTTACTCCCTGGGAACTTTGAGTCTTATTTGGAACTCCTGAAGTCCCTGTGTCTGGGGCCAGCACTGATCCACACAGCTAAGTTTGCACTCGTCTTCCCTCTCGTGTATCATACCTAGAATGGGATCTGACATTTGATGTGGGACCTAGGAAAAGGCCTGAAGATTCCCCAGCTATACCAGTCTGGAGTGGTTGTCCTTGTTCTTACTGTGTTGTCCTCTATGGGGCTGGCAGCCACGTGAAGAATGGAGGTTCCCAGCATCATCTTCCTACACATTATTACATTCACCCATCTTTCTGTTTGTCATTCTTATCTCCAGCCTGGGAAAAGTTCTCCTTATTTGTTTAGATCCTTTTGTACTTTCAGATCCCCTTGGAGCAGTAGAGTACCTTGTAGACCATAACAGTGGAAAAGGGTCTAGTTTTCCCCTTGTTTCTAAAGATGGGGTGGCTGCAAAACTCCCCTTTTTTTGCCCTCAGCTTGCCTACTCTCCGCCTAGAAGCAGTTATTCTGTCTCCATATTGGGCTTTGATTGTACTGAGGATCAGCTTTTGGCTCCTTCTTCTGGAGACACTGGAAACAATGCCAGCTCTGTGGCTTGTGCCCTGTGGACTGGGGGCGAGGCTTTGGGTGCCACTGCCTGTGGGTTGCTGGCTTAAAGGACAATTCTGTTCACTGGTGAGAGCCCAGGCCATTAACACCTACGCAGTGTTACTGAAAGAAGAGAGGTCGGGGTGGAGGGGAATCAGTCTGTCCCAGCTAGAGGGAGATAAAGAGGGCTAGTTAGTTCTTGGAGCAGCTGCTTTTGAGGAGAAAATATATAACTTTTGACACAAGAAGAAGATTCAGAAAATTATCATTGAACATATTAATGGTTATTTCTTTTTCTTGGATTTCCAGAAAAGCCTCTTAATTTTATACTTTCTCATCGAAGTCATGTACCCTTTTTTTCTGAAACTTAACTAAAATACTCATTTTATCTTTGAGTCTCCTTGAAATCTAGAGAAACCAAGAAAACGGATGTTGGAAAGGAACCAACTTCCTCCTTTTCCCTCAGGTCTCAGGCATTTACATCCTCCCTCTCCCGGCAATCTGACCTTTCCCAGGAGGGAAACAGTTTTCCTACATCTCATCATTGGAAAAGTTTTCAGGGAATCAGATAGAACTTAGCCAGAGATTTAAATATCACAGAGATGCCTCAGAGAAGGAAGGAGAAAAAGAAAAGAAGTGATGCATGTAGAGTGCTTTTGGGTTATAGGCACCAAAATCCCATTAAGGACTGATTATAAACTTCATGGTACAGTTCAGCAAATTATGATTCAGTGAGGGCCACAGAAGAGCAGTGTTGGTGACAGCTGAGGGATGATGACCTGAAGTTATAGGCTTGGGGTGAATGAAGAATAGAGATTAAAAAAAAAGAGAGAGAGATGGTTGAAAACCTGGCAAAAATGTATAATTTAATGAGAAAACGTGCTGCTTTTAAAATCCATATAGGCCAGGCTTTAGTAGGCCTGCTGTTTTGATAGTTTTTGGGAACTCTGGAATAAGAGACCTATCTGGTCTGTCACTTTGAGTTGCTGGCCAGCCAGTGAAAGCTATGGGTCGAAGAGGGGAAATGGTAACTGGCTGGTGTCAATTGGATAGGAAGACCTTAGTTAAGGTGGGGACCTGCTGTTTTAACAGTCTTCATTCAGGGTCCCAAATAGTATTTGGCGTTAAGTAATGATTGCTTTTCCCTTTTTACTAGAGGGGCCCTGGGAAGTCCTTGTACCTTTCCTCCATTTAAACCAGCTGTTCTCTACTTTGTCCTTGGAGTGAGGGACAAGTGATCATGAGAGAACACTTTGTCACTGGGATGGGGAAAGGTTTGGCAAGGGCATTAAATTTAACAGCCAGTGCCAGGAAAATGTAAAACGGGGTCAATGATAAACAGATGTTAGAGGCTGGAAAATGGGTAGGGCGGTTGAAGTTTTTGGTGGTTCCTTACCATTTGGGTGATTGAAGCATGGTAGTGGGTGGATAGGGGGTGTGACGGAGCATCATGTTTGTTATTCTGCCTTAAATTTCTACTTACTGTCTTTGTTTTTCTTCTCTGTCTTCCAATCACTTTAATATCTTCAATTTTCAAACTATATTTGTACTTTGTACTTGGGCTTATACAGAAAGTCTTACACAAGCATAGTATCTTCTACTTTGGTTTTCCCTACCTTTTCTTCCCCATCTTCTCCAAACACACATATACACACTCTGCTCAGCAATTCTACTTCTGATTTTGTAGTTGTTAGTTGTACATGCTCAGGATAAAAAAATGAGTGAGTAGGGTTGAGGGACTGGTTCTTTGAGGTTCTGCCCTTTTTCTATGATTCAGACCGACTTTCTCTTCATCATTTCTGGAGTATATCTGACTCAATTCTTGTAAAAATGTGTTCCACCCAAACCACTGTATGTTTCTTTCCCTACTTTATTTTCCCCCACCTTCCTTCTCCTAATTGTGTTACAAGAGGCAGCCATAGCAAGAATGGAAAATCCAGATCAGTAAAAGATTCAACAGCAACAACAAAAAAAATCTTTCAGGTGACCAGCCCCCATCCTGAAGCTGCTTAGCCATCGATCAATCATTAGCATACAAAGACATCACTTTGGAGATTCTAGATTTTAGGAGTTGTATGCCATGAAATGGAATTGTTAAAGCCAACTAAATATGACCTGAGAAGGACTCCTTACTTCTGTATTTGTGTCCATGTGGATGAACTGGAACCTAGCTTAATAAGTAGACAATATTAAAAACCTAACAGGAGTATGTGCCTGTAACAATAACTGAGTCTTGGCCAACCCCAGCAGCCATACCTCAACCATTCATACACTGCTGAGTGTTCGAACTGTGTTCAAACAAGACAAACACCCACCTGTAACCAATCCAGCTGTTCTGTACCTCACTTCCGATTTCTGGACATCATTTCCTCTTTTTTTGCCTATAAATCTTCTCCTACCATGTGACTGTGCTGGAGTCTCTGTGAATCTGCCATGATTCTGGGGGTTGCCCAGTTCACTAATTGTTCATTGCTCAATTAACTTCCTTTGAATTTAATTCAGCCAAAGTTTTTATTTTAACAGAGTTGAAGACCAAATATGTATTTCATGGTATCACATCTGTGGTTTTGCTTTCTGTGGTTTTAGTTACCCACGGTCATTCATGATCCATAAATATTAAATGAAAAGTTTGGAAATAGTAAGTTTTAAGTTGCATGCTGTTCTAAGTGGCGTAAAATCATCAGCCATCTCAATTCATCCCAGCCAGGGCATGAATCATCATTTTGTCTAGTGTATCTACATTGTATATGCTATCTACCCATTAGTCATTGGCATGGTCTTCTCCTGACAACCAACCACCGGTATCATCAAGACTCAATAATCCAGGATCACCCAAAGCAGATAATCCTTCTCCTGAAGGTCAATAGTAGCCTAACACTACATCATGATGCCTATGCCATCTCATTACAGAAGCACTGTATCACCACATATCATCAACAGAATAAGGGTGAGTACAGTGCAAGAAAATATTTTAAGGAACTATATTCGCAAAACTTTTTACAGTATATTGTTATGATTGTTCTATTTTATTATCTATTGTTAAGTTCATACTGTGCCTAATTTATAAATCAAGCTTCATATAGACATGTATGTATAGGAAAAGACATTGTGTATATAGGGCTTGGTACTATCCACAGTTTCAGGCATTTGCTGGGGGTTTTGAAATGTATCCCCTGTGGAAAAGGGAAGACAAGTGGACTTATTTTGTTGTGACACAACAAAGCTTCTCCAGTTCTTCACTTAAAACTGTTCAGTTTAGAATAAAACATCCTATCACAAGGAAGCTAGGTCCATGAGCACTGTACTATGTTTTATGGCAAAACATAGGAAACAGACCAGGGACAAAGATTCTTGCAAAGACTTTTCAGTTGCCAGTGGAGAAGATCTCAAGGGAGATCACTGTACTCACTATTGCTAATACTCTTCTGGGGAAAATGCTGGTTAAGTTTACTTAGTTCTGGCTATTTTCTCTGCCCTACGTATGCCACAGACAAGGCTCAAATTTGCCTGCCGTTTCACTCCTATGGAAAAGAACCAGTGGAAAGATCATTCCCTTATGAGCTTATCCACTCACTCAGAAGCATACCACTTATTCAGAGAGAAGCTTAAGAAGCAACACTGAAGAGGTGGTGGCAAGGTGCCAGGGAGTACTATCTGATGTGAAAAATATATATGAACAGAACTATCAACTCACTCAAGCTATTAGAATGTGCCAACAGTTGTCACTCTCTCCAGTGGAAGAAAAAACTTCTTTCACACTTCATGTAAAGCAAACACTGTGACTCTCTGGGCATTTCTCATGACAGAGAATCTAGTTATAGGCAAGCCATGTCATAATAATATAGACTCTTTTCAAACTCATATCTCAAAGGAAGATAATCAGTGAGGAACATATTTATCTACCTGTAGTATTCACTGCCTAGTCTTACCTTCAATTGCAAGGCACGAAAGTTTTATAAAGTACGAACTCTTAAGATTGTCCCTTTTCATTCATAGAAAGTCTATCTGGACCCACCTCATAGAGCAGGATGGTCTGTAGTGCTGCATGATGTCATTTTTGTCAACCCTATTATGTGGCAAGTGTCTATAGAAATCATGCTTTCTCAGTATGGAAAGCATATATCATCATATTCTACGATGCTGAACAAAATGGAAAGGAAACAAAAGGACATTTGTAGGAACATGGATGCAGCTGGAAACCATCATTCTCAGCAAACTATCGCAAGAACAGAAAACCAAACACCGCATGTTCTCACTCATAGGTGGAAATTGAACAATGAGAACACCTGGACACAGGAAGGGGAACATCACACACTGGGGCCTGTTGTGGGGAGGGGGTAAGGGGGAGGGATAGCATTAAGAGCTGTACCTAATGTAAATGACGAGTTAATGGGTGCAGCACACCAACATGGCACATGTATACATATGTAACAAACCTGCACATTGTGCACATGTACCCTAGAACATAAAGTAAAACAATAAAAAAAAAAAAAGAAAACAAAACGACAAAGAACATCTTAAATGACTACTGCAATTACCATGGAATTTTAATTTTTTAATATTCAAATAGTTATCCACTGTACTATTCCAATACAGTGGAATTCCAGACTAGTCTGGAAAAAGCAAACTATGGAGACAGGAAAAAGATCAGTGGTTGCCAGGGGTTAGTGGGGAGGGAGAGATGAAAAGGCACAGTACAGAGGATTTTTAGGGCCATAAAACGGTTGTGTCTAGGATATTTACAAGGGTAGAAACATGTCATTACACATTTCTCCAAGTCCAGAGAATGTACATACAA